AAAAAATTCAACATAAAAAACCGTATCGGCAAGGGAATCAGGTTCGGGTAGAGGAAAGGACATTATGGACAACACAACTGCGAGAATGGGTCGTGACTAACAATAAGTACAAGGCACATCACTGGTTTTCACAATGTAAAATCGACCTTATTTCACAATTTCAAAATCTGACTAGAATGAAAACGAGTGCACAAACAGTGTTAAATCCATAGTTTTGTGAAGCAGATGGATATCATCCAAGTTGTACGAGTAATGCAGTAATCAACTAAACTTTTCTTTGATGGAAATTCACAAAATCGCAGCACTACAATCGGAAATAGCATTTAAGCAAGGTCAAATAAACTCTTCATTCTAACAAGGGAGGATCCCACGTTAAAGTGGCCAATCGGATCGAGACTTGTACTGCCGGGTGCTTGTTTCGAATTTCCTTCCTAATTAACCAAACAATTCTCTGGACGAGGTTATGAAGGTGGTTTTAGGTAATTGCTCAATATGAGGGTGCACTCAAAGGCACAGTTCACGATTATTTTAGGTAATCCAAATTATGACGAAAAATGGATGTTAAAAAAATAGTGCGATGAAGGTGAAGGAACTGCGTGAATCGGTGTTTCCAAAGTGAAAAAAAGGCTTTGAAGGATCGTTAGAAAGGAGGTTGGACGAGAATGAGACCAGAAGAATGAAGAAGAGTGGGGCGTTCGGACNTCACTGTGTACGTGTGGGTCCTGGTGCGAGTACCAGACTATGGTAAGCAACATTCATTCACTTATAAACATAAGTAAACAAAAGAACACTAATAACAGCAGGAATAGCTCACATTTCTCAGCCTCTTGGGGTAGGAAATCAAATAAGGGATCGCCCTTAGGACATGAACATATCTGTGCTCACATAAGTGACTTCGAGCCGCGGTATTCGACGCTTGATGTTTCATATGCTTTGGGCAATGGGTTGGGTTTGCGCTAGGTGTGGTTTTCGTTTCGAAGGAGGAAGGCAGACGGTCGGTCGAAGAGCTGAAAACAAAGAAGAACAAGATCAAAAACCAAACAACCAGGGGCTCGTACAAATGGTTTTTGATCTCGTCTCTCTTTGTTTACAGCCCTTCGAGGGCTGACCGACCGTCTGCCGCCCTCCTCCCCCCTAGCACTGCCTCGTGCATGCCGGCCGGCCGGCGGACTATGAAAGCAGCCAATTTAACGACTCCTGCTGTCTTTTTGACGCCTGAGATGATTTAGTACGAGCCAGCGTGGCCTCGTAGATTGTCCTCGCTTGAGGGGCACGAGGCAAACTATTTCTTTTGTTCAAAGCTGATAGCTCAGCCATTATAGATAGGACTGTTTCAGGAACGATTTTTTGCTAGATACTTTCCGAACAACTTGACAAGTGTGCTGTTTATTCGTCGAAGTCGATGTCAAATTGGTGGGCCCTTCTAGAATCACCCTTGTGCTCTGGGAACGTACATGAGCGATAATCAGTGATAAGTAATACGAGACGGTGTGACGTCCTGTTTACTTCTCACACTTTTTGCACTGGCGAACGTTCTTCGTTGTATGTACGGGTGGCATTGAGGGAAGAGATGTGATTTGTAGTTGGGCGTGTTCAGGTGCTAAGAAACGGTCACCCCTATAAAACAACCACAACAGCTGGCTACACTAAGAAGGTCGTGCGCCAAATTTGTCCAAAAAGTATGTTCGCTGCCCTGATACTGTTCCTATTCTCTGTTATCGTCTACTACATATGGTTTTTCTATGCGAATGTAAAACGATATCCTAAAGGACCTACGCCTCTACCGGTTGTCGGTAATCTACTTTCGGTATGTGCTATAGAGCATCCGAAAACGAACACCTCTTCCTAAACGCAGTTACAGATCGATTTACGAAATCTACATAAGTACTTTGAGCTAGTATCAAAAGATTACGGTGACGTCTTCACTGTCTGGCTTCCAAAGCCATATGTGATCATCATGAATTACGACTCCATCAAAGAGGCTTTTGCGAAAAGAGGTGGGAATCGGTTATTTGTAGAATCTAATCTACAAATTCCGACTGTAACATGACAGATGATATGGTATGACAGTAATCGTGCTACATAATTTGGCTTTAAACAAGCTTCTTACCAAGACTGGCGTACTAGATCTTAATGCCCACTGCGGAGCGCAGACTACTAAATGGCTGTCTGTTACGGCACTCACCAAAGTTAATCAAATCTCTTTCAATCCCTCAGCTGTGGCTGGTCATTGACAATCGTGTAAGGACCCTTTACTGCTGAAGGCTGGGCTTATCAGGGGAGGGTTTCAAATTCCTACTTCTAGATTTCTTGATAGCAATCCAAATTCTATCACACCTAGGTCTCTGTTCAGTGGAATCGCCTCTTTATTGAAGTGAAAAGTAAAGCTAGAAGCTGAACCTCAGGCTCTTCAGAACTGAGAAAATCCAGTGTTATCTTCCAAAATTTGTTCAGAGCAGGGTTGGGAGATACAAACATCTTCTGTGAGTTACTCGGTTCAGGTGACGATTTCGCTGGACGATCTGGCCTGTTTCCTGACACTTTGTTTCAAAGCATGCATAATGGAGGAATTGTCTTTTCTCAGGTCAGTGCATACACTTTCATATTACAATCAACAAGGCAGTGAATGCTCTTAGTAACTTGGATTTGACTAAATAGAAACACCGGAAAAGGCATCCAACGATTGGAACAAGCGAATCGTTGTCAGACGGGGTTGGCGTACCACAGTCAAATTAGAGTCTAAGTGGGTTTAAGCATTGATATGAAAATATCTGATTAATTTCAAGGGACATCTCTGGAAGGAGCAGCGGCGTGTATCACTCCAAATACTTCGCGATTTTGGAATGGGAAAGAGCGGAATGGAAGAACAGGTTTGATCACCGTTATCACATAGTATAACTAATACAATAACAACCGCATTTAATCATGATTATTGTGGATATTGTGCAGTTCAGGGCATATAATTTGATTTTTAATCAGCAGTTATCTGTGGGTTTGTTTCTTTGTCTGCCACGGTATTACACTATCTGCCGGTCCTCGTGTACAGGCCAGGTGCCGAATAGAGAAGAACGTTCCAGACGTGAACGTAGTTTTGCCGGGGAATGGAGCGTGAGCTGAAATGGGTCATGCTGAACTAATATATCGAGACACGTCCTCAGAGAAAGCATCTTGAAGGGCGAAAGGAAAAGAGATAAGTAAGGAGACCTCAAGGACGAATGATAACGACATCCTGTACTTGTCGGAGACATACCTAGAGGAATTATGATATTGTGAACTAACCACTGTTAAGCCGATTTCACAGATAGAAGGGCAAGGTTAAGATGCGTGGGTTTGCACTTACAGTATGGGGATTTGTACTGCGTCGAAGACTAAATTTTTTGCTTTAATCCTCATGGGCCCAGATAGACATTTGAAGCCAAGCTCAGGGCCAAACTCTAGCAAGCCATGAAGAACTACATTTCGTTAAAACTAATTGAGAATTATACCTACGTCAGGTATTACTAAAAAATACTTAGATATTTTGGTTCGTTTCGCCTCTTAGTCATACGAACCGAAATCTGCCATCACCCGAGGCTCGT